CACACAACAGTGCATAGAGCACTTCTTAGAATGGGTTTCCATAGCCGAGCAGCTGCATCCAACCCTTACATCACCTAAGTGCAATGCAAGGGTCGGATGCAGTGGTGTAAAGCATGCCGCCACTGGACTCTAGAGCAGTGGAGACGTGTTCTCTGGAGTGATTAATCACACTTCTCTGTTTGGCAATCCAAAGGATATGTCTGGGTTTGGCAGTTGCCAGGAGAAAGGTACTTGCCTGACTGCATTGTGCCAAGTGTAAAGTTTAGTGGAGGGGGGAATATGGTGTTGACCTTTTGGAATTTCCACTGTGTCTTCTTCCAACCTCCAACAATGTGTATACATTTACTTGATTTGCAGAGGTGTGATAAATCATACAAAACTAATGAAATCATAAAAGTCTCCGTTAAAGAACTGTCAATCATCTTTTCAACAATCCCTTCTATGCTTCTCCCAACCACCAATGCTGTGCATGCACCACTTTATACACAAGGTGCTGCTGACCAAGGTCAAAAAGTGCATGTGTCCCCTTTAAGAGAGTCCTCAAATATTCCCCAGATCCACTTGGAATCCTCAAGCTGGATAAACTCTTTTGCAGCAAGGTTTTCCTCTACATCCAATTTTTCAGACACCGTCCCTTTAAGACTCCAGCCAACCTCATTACAAAAAAGTACTCAATAGTGTATTTATTACCTACCACATTTTATTCCAATCCCAAGTTTAAAAACCACTCACAATGTGCAGGTGCTAAGTTGCACCAAAACAATCATAAGCACATGCAGCAGTATAGCTTTAAAATACACCACCATCCAAACCTCATCCTTACATGTTTCGTCACTTGATTTCATATTTCTTTGATAGAGGCGTTTATGTGTTTATTGTATTGTTTTTGTTCGGTGTTAATTTGATTGATTGCTCACAAATATTTGTAATTTATTTATATTAGTTTTCATATGAATTTATCGATACTGTATATGATTGATGGAGTATTGGCTTGATAGCAAGTGAAGGAATAATGGCACCACATCCTGGTTAATTATTAAGAATATGGATTTAGGCTGGATGACTTTTGCATAAGTGTGAACAAAGCAGAAGAGCGCACAAAGCCTAATGTCCTAAGTATTGCTGATTTGCTTCCCCAGATATTTAACTGCTTTCCTCGCATCTCGTCTTTTCTTGGCCTACATAATAAAGTTGAGCAAAACATAAAGGAGCTTTGTGAGTTTATTTTAAAACGCATCAAATATCAGAAGAAGGAGTTTGATACAAATGCTGTCTCTGGATATATTGATGCATATCTTATGAAGCAGGTAAGTACTTTCCTCATGTATATGTGGTATTTGTTTAAACTATGAAAACTGGAATTACTTTGTTTTATTTGGATGTAAGCTTTGTATTTTGAGAACTGACTCGTACTCCATGAGAGGTCACTTGGACCATTCCAAATGTTTTCTGCATCCTGCTATTGTTCTCACTGATAGGAAATCTCTTACACCATGGCCTATTCCTTAAAGCCAGGCATGTCCAAAGTCCGGCCCCCGGGCCAATTGCGGCCCGTGTTCCGATTTAATACGGCCCCACAGGTAATTTGACAATATCTAAAAAGGAGAAAAGCGCCTCTAAGTGCAATATGTGGTACATTTATTGAGGAACATAATGAGAAACACATGATGAAAGAAAATGAAAGGCTTAGGGATATGTGGTGAAAGCAAAGGACATGGTGGCGTCCTCGATGTGTACGCCATAGTAAGCACTGGAGGAGACTCGGGATGTTCATAGGGAGCCGGGCGGCACATGTGAGATCCAAAGATGGCTTCTGGAGTCTACCCTGGAGCGCAATGTCCACGTCAGCGTGATGACGTAGGGATGTCCAGCATGCAATGCGATGCTCTTCGGAGCATGCGTAAGGCCGATGAAAGGCAAAGGTGCACTCCCTTCTCAAGCATTGAAGGAAATCAGTGAGAGTAATTTCGCTTTTTTTTTTTTTTTTAGGGGGAGAAACAAATACAGATTTAAAATATGTCATGATCAGTATCAATCACTCCTTTATCCATTCATTTTTTTTTTTGGCGCAAAATGGTCGGCCCTCAGGCATCTTCACTTCATCAAATCTGACCTCTTTGAAAAAAGTTTGGACACCCCTGCTTAAAGCATTTTTGTACTTTAACAGCTCAGTCCATTTTTAATAGGGCATTCTCTCTATAGCAGTACAGTCTGTGTCTAAAAGGACATTCTTTGTCTGAGAGAGCCTTCAGTATCATGGTCTTTCTGTTTAATGTCTCTTTCAAACTCTTAAATGACAGTCTCTTTCTAAGAGGACAGTCTATTATAAAGAACACTCACACATGGGAATTGTTCACATAGTATTAAAAATTCTGTATACAGGCCCACAGAACATACAGTGCACAATCCACGTGTGCTTTGTTCATATGCTTCACTGCAACAAGGAAACAGGAAACTTTATTTCAGAGAAAAACATAGAGTTTATTATAGATGCACCTACAAACTTATAAACACTGCCATCTTCTGGTGGAACAATATATCTCTACTGAATACTGATGTAGTTGTTGCACAAAATACATGAACACTGTATTCCAACACATAGCAATATCTCTCTTTTACATGACAATCTCTCCTACACACAGCAGGCTCTAACAAGTCAGTGTATTTTTCTTCATCTCTCTCCTACTCAGAAATGTGACCTGCCTCATTGATGAGTACCTGCATCTCCCTCATAAGAACCTGCGATTTCCCCTTTTTTCACATAAGCATCTTCTTTTTCCTTTTTTTATTTTTCTACCTTTAAGTAAACAGGCACACTTTTTTGTTAGATGAAATACAGTGAGGAACAGAAGTATTTGAACACCCTGCGATTTTGCATGTTCTCCCACTTAGAAGTCATGGAGGGGTCTGACATTCACATTGTAAGTGCATTCCCACTTTGAGAGACAGAATTAAAAAAATTCAGGAAATCACATTGTATGATTTTTAAAGAATCGATTTGTCTTGCACTACTGAACATAAGTATTTTAACACTTAAGAAACAGCAAGAATTCTGGCTCACAAAGACCTGTTACCGTGCCTTTAAAAAGTCCACCTCTACTCCACTCATTCATTTAACTTAGTAACTTAGGGGTTTATTTACTAAAGCTGGAGAGTCCAAAATCAGACTCCCTTCTGCATAGAAACCAATCAGCTTCTAACCTCAGCTTGTTCAATGAAGCTTTGGCAATGAAACCTGGAAGCTGATTGGTTTTCTATGCAGAAGGGAGTCTGATTTTGGACTCTCCAGCTTTAGTAAATAAACCCCTTAGTGTCTGAGCTCTTTAAAGACACCTGTCCACCCCACAGTCAGGGGACAGGACGACTGTGCACTGTATTAAGGAGAGGATGAATGGGGGCATTTATTGTGAGATTTTGAGCAACAACCTCCTTCCCTCAGTCAGAGCATTGAAGATGGGTCGTGGCTGGGTCTTCCAACACGACAGCAACCCGAAGCACATAGCCAGGATAACCAAGGAGTGGCTCCTCGAAACCTGACAGATCTAGAGGAGATCTCTATGGAGAAGTAGGCCAAAATCCCTGCTGCAGTGTGTGCAAACCTGGCCAAGAACTACAGGGAACGTTTGACCTCTGTAATTGCAAACAAAGGCTTCTGTACCAAATATTAACACTGATTTTCTCAGGTGTTCAAATACTTATGTTCAGCAGTGCAAGACAAATAAATTCTTTAAAAATCAAACAATGTGATTTCCTGAATTTTTTTTAAATTCTGTCTCTCAGAGTGGGAAATGCACCTACAATGTGAATTTCAGACCCCTCCATGATTTCTAAGTGGGAGAACTTGCAAAATCGCAGGGTGTTCAAAAAAACGTCTGTTCCTCACTGTATATTGCTTGCCAATGGACTTCAGATTAAACTGACAAAGTTGAACTCCAGGTGGTCATTAAAGATTTTTTTAATGCAAGCAGTATACCTGAAGCATCTGAATTTCGCTTGGTATCAGCCCCTTGCAATTCCTGTACAGCAGAGCACAGAATCGGGGATGGAGAAGCAACACAAGGAACCAATCAGTTGTTCTTCAGTGCTCATGTCCTAACAAGGTGAATGCTGATAGTAGGAGAGAGGGGAGTGGCAGAGAGAGGTGAGCTCATCAGTCTGGGGCTTCTCCTTTTTCTCTCTATTTACAGATTGGGAACAGGACAATACTTGAAATTGTTAAATAACTGCAGAAAAAAGAGGCATCCTACCCTGCCAGGCAGAGCTGTGTTCTCCAACAGGGTTGTGTAAATGTTGGGACTAGATGGACTGAAATATAAACTCTATAGCAGGTTTTTTTTGTGTGTATTTGCCTAAAGTTCATCGTTATACAAATATTACATTTATTGACACTCTTAAAGAAAAATACAAATTTGACTTTAAAAATTTAAGCCAGGAGAAGCATTTTAATCTCTAAATTTTAACTTGCAAAAAAGATTCTGTTTTATATTAATGCCCAGATTCCATTCATTTCAATGGAAATGCAAGTCAGTGAGTGCATACGTTTGTTTAATTGTTATGAAATTTATTTCTAACAACATTTTTGCTTAGGTTTACTTTGAGATGATAATGACAATGTAAAGAGTAACCTAAATATGATATTTGTGTTTTTAGGAGTCAGCCAAAGCTGAAAAGTACTTTGATGATGAAAATCTGGTGCACTCAGCTCTGGATCTCTTTGCAGCTGGGACAGAAACAACATCAACAACACTACGCTGGGCTATGCTGTTGATGATGAAGTACCCAGAAATACAAAGTAAGTCTGTGGGTTTACAAAATAATGCCATTTAGGGGAAATGTCTACTTGACCACTCTACCTCTAGTTACTGGGAGACGTGCCAAAACCCAGGCATTGTTTAATGTTTGTGTCAATGTCCAGACAAAAAAACAAAAAAATCACATAGAAGAGAATATGGCTCTTTAGCAGGCAAGTCTCGTCAAACTGGAACTCTGGCCAAAATTTCTGATTAAGATGGAGTGGGTAAGGTTTAGAACCCGTATCAAGATTTCATTACTATGAATGGGCAATGCTAAGATCGTACAAAACCTGGGGCACCCTTGGGCACAGAGAGGAGAGCAATGATGAGGTATGCATAGGTGAGCCCTAAGCCCCGGTTCACATATATGCGGCCGTGCGGGCCGCGTTTTGCGCTAGCACGAGAGCCCATTCATTTGAATGGACTTCCGTGCCCAGTGACACGCAGGGAAGAGGTCCCTGTACTTCTTCTGAAAACGCAGCCTGCATGGGAACCTCGCGTTTTCCAGTGTGGGAGGCGTACCATTAGAACTAATGGCACCCGCCCGCAGGTCTGCATTCTGGATTTTCGTGTGGATCCGCAGCGGCACTACCCGCACAGAACCTGGCCTAATTGTGGAAGGGGCTTAAAGTGGTAGTAAAGCCCCATTGTTTACTTGTACTTACAGGAAAGCCTAAAATAAGGCTTACCTGTAGGCATTGTAAATATCTCCTAAATATGCACTGTTTAGGAGATATTTATTATAGTAGTAGCTGGTGACGTCACCGACTCATGCGCACTGCACTCATAATGGATGGCATGCCGTCCACTGAGAGAGCTGTGTCACGGCTCTAACTCCTGCATGCATGACTGTCATCATTACGGCTTGGCCAGTCAAACAGCTGAAGCCCATGAACCCAGAAGGAAGATCGAATGAAGATGGAAGCTCCTACAGCAATGACAGCGCACTGCTCGAGGGCTTCTTTTTCAGGTAAGTCTTTCTTAATGTGCTAGTATGTGATGCATACTAGCATATTATGCTATTATTTTTCAAGGGAAATTTTTTTTTGGAATTTTTTTTTTTTGCGGTTTACTACCGCTTTAAAGTGTATGATTAAATAAAACAAGAGCCTACTCACAAAATATAAAACATGCATATAACCCATAGTCCACGTATCAAACAATATGATATACCAACTTCCCACCCAGCCTATAGCAGATTGACGGCTGGGCGGGACACTCTGAGTGGGTGTCAGTTGTATAAAATGGATAGCTTCCTTTCATGCCATCCATTTTATACAATTATTTTGTTAGCTGTGATTGGTCAAAGCAGTCACATGGTACAGACAAGGCCAATCACAGCCCATCTGTATCATGTGATGAGCTTTGCCCTATCACAGCTAATCACGACAAAAGACTGAATTAATCAGTTTCATTCAGTAACAATGATTGCAAATATCAATGAAAAACATTGGTATTAGCAATCATAATGTGTAAAAGAACAAAAAAAGTCCTAAAATGAATGAAATCTTGCGAGCTGCTATGGTGCCTATTTAACTAATTGTGGCAAACTATAAATACATCAGTGATCAATATAGTGAACTCGGTGTAGAGTTATTCACCCTGAGGTCATCACAGAGGACAAGGGGGCACTTGTTACGTCTGGAGGAAAAGAAATTTAATCTCCAAACACGGAAAGGTTTCTTCACCGTGAGAGTTCTGAAAATGTGGAATAGACTTCCTCAAGAGTTGGTTCTGGCCAGCTCAGTGGATTGCTTTAAAAAAGGCCTGGATTCTTTCCTAGATACACAGAATATAACTAGATACTAACATTTTATAGGTAAAGTTGATCCAGGGAATATCTGATTGCCTCTCGGGGGATCAGGAAGAAATGCTTTTCCCTGCAGGAGCAAATTGGATCATGCTTTGCTGGGTTTTTTTGCCTTCCTCTGGATCAACTGTGGGTATAGGATTATAACTTTTTTTTTTAATGGTTGAACTGGATGGACTTTTGTCTCTTTTCAGCCAAACTAACTATGTAACTATGTGTAAACAGTAGATTGTTTGCACCATACACATACCCATACAAATGTGTCAACAATATACAAATACAAGAAATTAGTGCCACGCTCCACTGATATCCAATATATGTGTATAAAACTTCCAAACGTAACAAGTCTCTTTATATCCGTGATAATATGCTCCTTCAAGTGATGTGGACAAATGAACTATTGATTGGTTCACCTCTGATGTGTTAACATAACAACCACTCATGCACCTTCACCAGTTGTACTCTCACCTGGTAAATATGACCAAACCATTAACTGAGGTCATATATAGCTTGTGTCCCTTACATGGACTGTGGATGGATGGGATTGTTATCCTAAAGAATCTGTATCCCCTCACTTCTTTAATGGTCCTCCTCCATTGATTCATATATCATGAGAAATAATCAAAACAGTGCCTCATCCTTATTTAAAATGTTTATTAATACAATGTGTTGCACTCACATGTAAACGATGTAAAAAGCGCTGTTTCAATATACTCCAAACACTCGCTAGCGATTCAGTCTGTATACTTGCTAGTATCTCTCTTTCCACATGAGCATCGAGCCATCAGATCCCCTCCCCTACACGTTACGCCACCGGGTCACGTGTCTACATTTATTTTATTTTTTATTTATTTCAGGTACTTATATAGTGCCGTCAATTTAGGCAGCGCTTTACATATATATTGTACATTCACATCAGTCCCAGCCCTCAAGGGGTGTACAATCTAAGGTCCCTAACTCACATTCATACATACACATACCTTGGGCCAATTTAGACAGGGTCCAATTAACCTAGCAGCATGTCTTTGGAGTGTGGGAGGAAACTGGAGTACCCGGAGGAAACTTACGCAGGCACAGGGAGAACATGCAAACTCCAGGCAGGTGGTGCCATGGTTGGGATTCGAACCAGCTACCCTAGTACTGCCAGGTGGAAATGCTAACCATTTAGCCACTGTGCTGCCTATATATATATATATATATATATATATATATATATATATACACACACACACACACACACACACACGCACGTCTCTTTTTTAGGTACACCTGTTCAATTGCCTGGTAAGCACAATTTGCTAATCAGCCAATCACACTGCAGAAACTCAGTGCATGTAGGCTTCTAGTTGCGAAGACAACTTACTAACCTGCTGCAGTTTAAACCGAGCATCAGAATGGGGAAGAAAGGGGATTTAGGTGACTTTGAACGTGGCATGGTTATGTAGCAGAATACATTTCGGCCTAAATTTATGAAGAAAACGTATCTATTTGCAAAATTTTATAACAAAAACTAAGCAAAAAATTATTTCTATTTTTCAAATTTTTGGTATTTTTTAATTTATATAGCAAAAAATAAACACGGTGGTGATCAAATACCACCAAAAGAAAGCTCCACCTGTCTAAAAAAAGAAAGGATAAAAATTTCATATGGGTACAGTGTTGCATGACTGAGTAATTGTCACTCAAAGTGTGACAGCGCTGAAAGCTGGAAATTGGCCTGGACTGGAAGGGGGTGAAAGTGTCCGGACTTGAAGTGGTTAAAGTGGATTTCTTTGCAGAGTTTCACAATAGCTATCTACTGATTTCTAGAGAAATTAAAATAAAAAGATTTAGGGTCTCAATATTGTTTTGACATGTGGTTTTTCAATTAAGGTAACCTCTCATTTTCAGAACATGTTCTGTTTGAATTGTGAGGGATTGTTATAACTTTATGTCTATGTTCACCCCCTCACCCCCTCGGTCTCCGCCCGAATCACACACCTGCTGAGCGACATATCAGACTGGATGTCGCTCCACTTCCTTAAACTGAACCTCTCGAAAACCGAGTTTCTTGTCTTCCCCCCAGCCCGGACCCCACCCCCATTGACTTCTCTATCACATCCAACAACGCTACCATCAAACCCGCCCTGCAGGCCAGAGTACTTGGTGTCATTCTGGACTCCAACCTATCCTTCCAGCCCCAAGTCCAATCTTTAACAAACTCCACCTCCGCAACATCGCCAAAATACGCACGTTCCTAACCCCAGAAACCACTAAACAGCTCATCCACTCCCTCATCATATCACGACTCGATTACTGCAACTCCCTCCTTACTGGCCTGCCTCGCCGCTGGCTATCCCCGCTTCAGTCGATCCTGAATACGGCTGCCAGACTCATTCACCTTTCCAACCGCTCCATCTCCGCCACCCCCCTCTGCCAATCCCTCCACTGGCTTCCGATTGCGCAACGGATCAAATTCAAAATCCTAACGCTGACGTACAAAGCCGTCCACCATACTGCCCCGAACTACATCACTGACCTAATATCCAAGTACTGCCCAGCACGCACACTCCGCTCCTCACAAGACCTCCTTCTCTCTAGTTCCCTGGTCTCCTCCTCCCATGCCCGCCTCCAGGACTTCTCCAGGGTGTCACCCATCCTCTGGAACTCCCTGCCCCAACCCATCAGATTATCACCTACTCTCCTTCTCCTTTAGGCACACCCTGAAAACCCACCTCTTCAGGGAAGCCTACCCCACCCCCTGCTAACTTGCCGACCTCCTCCACTCTTCCTACCACTCCATCCCCCACAGCTATCTCCTCCTGTGCCACCATCCCCTCCCTCCTAGATTGTAAGCTCGAAAGAGCAGGGCCCTCGATCCCCTCATGTTTTGCATTGTATTGGTATTGTTCTGTCACATGTTTGTCCACCTCTGTAATGTACAGCGCTGAGCGAACTATTGGCGCTTTATAAATACTGTATAATAATAATAATGTTCAAATAAAGTGCATGATATGGGTAGTCCTGTTCAGCCTTCAACTTTCTGTGCTCCCCTCTTCACACTAGGATTGTCAGGCTGGAAATTATTATGATTATGTTCACATATTGTAGAGATTCTGATATAATGTATTTACTTTTATGTTATAGAAAAGGTTCAAGAAGAAATCAGGACACATATTAAACAAGGTCAGATGCCTACAGTGGATGATCGGAGGAATATGCCTTATACTGAAGCAGTGATACATGAAATTCAGAGGTTTGCTAATATTGTTCCTCTGAATTTGTCACACGCAACTTCAAGTGATGTGTATTTTCGGGGATACTGCATACCAAAGGTGAGTTCCAAGTCCTTCTCATTTATCAATAGAGTCCTATGCTAAAGGACCTATTTACATTAAACAGAAAAAGTGATCTGCTCTCTCTTGGAAAATATTGCTTTAAAACTGCGGCTTGCATTTTACATCACGTTCAAAAAATTGCAAGTCGCAGTGTGGGTACTTTGGTTAACATGCACAGAACTTTGTGTTTGGAAGAGAAGCCAGGCCCATGACTTAAAAGATCATGTAAATGGGCTTGCTTGGCTTTTTTTCATACAGCTAATTTGGCCTTTTCCAGAAAATAGACTATGCACCCAAGGGGCCTCAGCAGATATTAACAACTGTGAAACGACTTTGACAAATGTTCATTAACTTAAAGCTCCATTCACATGTGTGAGACTTCAAAATTGTGGGATTTTCATTGTGACTTTACAGTAGAACTTGATGCGACTTTAACACAACTCTGATGCAACTTTGATGTGACTTTGGATGAGTGCGACTTTGGCTTTGACCAAGGATAATTGTTTGTTCTCTACAAAGTTGCACACAAGTAACATGTACAGTATATCAGTCAGGTGTGACTTTCATGTGACTTTGGAGGATTTACATTGAAGTCTATGGCCTTCAAGTTGTATGAAAGTTGGAGCAAAGCAGTGCAGGAACTACTTTCAAGTTGCTGCGACTTGAAGTCGCACCGATATGAATGGTACTCATTGGCAAACATGGGGTGTGACTTGTCATGTGAATTTGAACCCCAACGTCACATAACGAGTGTGAATGGGCTCTTATTGTCATACCTGTAGGCCATTTGGGCTCCTCTTGAAGCCTGGCTGAAGATTTCAGATAGGGACTCTTATGTCGTGCCTTGTCGCTAAGACACGAAAACTACTGGGTACTCACTCCTCAAATTACAGGAGCAAAAACCAACACTTTTTTTTCATCTTAGCAACAAGCCAGGATATGGGGATTTCTAACTGGGAGTTTTCAGTGTACAATTTTGGCATCATCCGAATTGAATACACTTCTGCACATGTGACATCATCTTGGCCCAGCTAATGAAGACAGCCAAAGTTCGGTACCCAGAAGAAGACTGGCCAAGGAAGTCAGCCAGTGAGACAGCTCTGCGACACTGTTCCACTTTAGGTACTCCAATTAATTTGGGGATCCAAATCTATGCTTTATAAATATTCAGTGTGACAATAATAGGATCCAATGAACCCCAAACTGAATAAAGAGATGGAGAGCAATGCTGAAATTTTTTATTCCAAAATTCACATCAGTAACAAATCCTCATATTGATCAGGCAACTACAGACACAAACAAGGCCTTCATCAATCACATTACCACTTTCCAATCACAGCATCAGTGGCAGACACAAGCCTGTGTGATTAAACCCATTAGCAGTATATTGCTTAAGCCATAAAATTGCTATGCCATAAAACCTCTAGCAGACTCCCTAATGTTGAAAATGCTTTAGCAGAGCAGTTAAAGGAATACACAGGACCAGAACCAAAATCTGCACATAATTTATAAATCCTGATATGATAGTGCTATGTTCATACCAAGGGTCTATCAAAATGTATAAGAAAATACCGGTCACGTAGAGACCAGGGGTGGACTGACAACTCATGGGGCCCCCGGGCAATAGGGGATCATGGGGCCCCTGTGTCCTTGCCCAAACTCACAAAAGCCTATGAAAAAGTTACCAGGGGCATCTCATGGGGCCCCCTACTGACCCCAGGCCCTCGGGCAGTGCCCGAGTTTCCAAATAGTCAGTCTGCCCCTGGTAGAGACCAAACAAACTTATATTATGAGCTACAGAAAGCTGATAGGATACCTTAAACAGGCCGCAGACAATGTGAAAACTGAACAAAAATTCTGATTCGTTCATTTTTCGCATTATTAGTTTGCCAGCTGCGACATGTGATTTTCATGCCACAATGAAAGTGCTTGATCCAACAAGATGGATTTTTATTAGGAAAGCTAAGCAATTGATGGCATAATTGTGTGAGCTATTTTCATTTTTTCGCTTGACAAAACTTTCAGATTTTACCTTGTCTATGGCCTGCCTTGCCTTTTCTGAAAAAGCCCTACATTAAATCCATATCATGTTTGATATCTATCAAATTATGACATCTTATCTGCATGTTGGCCAGACAACTAGCTTTTTCAAAGTGAGAGGTCTGCAAAGGTAGCCTAATGATTTTTCTCAATGCAGGATTCCTTCAAATCAGAATTCAGAGTGAACATTGCCCTAGCCCAGTGGTCGGCAAGCCGCGGCTCGCGAGCCACATGCGGCTCTTTACACACTTTTATGCGGCTCTTTTGTGTGCCGGGCGCCCGCTCCCCTCCTTCCTCTTGGGCGGCCGCCCCAAAAGTCAGGACTCTGCAGCTAGCCCAGCTACGGCCCGGCGGACCTTTTAATCCAGCCCGCGGAGCGTGGCAAACATTGGCTGTCAGGATGTAGGCGGGGCAGCGTGACGATCATCCCCTCTCCTCTCACAGTCCACCCTGAAGACCGGAACGGCGCGGGAACACGGCGAGAGGAACGCGCGGAGCAAAGGTAAGTGAATTGACACAATATGGGGAATGAATTACTATAGGGGGGATGAATTACTATAGGGGGGATGAATTACTATATGGGGATGAATTACTATAGGGGGGATGAATTACTATATGGGGGATGAATTACTATGGGGGATGAATTACTATATGGGGGATGAATTACTATGGGGGATGAATTACTATATGGGGGATGAATTACTATAGGGGGGATGAATTACTATAGGGGGGATGAATTACTATATGGGGGATGAATTACTATGGGGGATGAATTACTATATGGGGGATGAATTACTATGGGGGATGAATTACTATATGGGGGATGAATTACTATGGGGGATGAATTACTATATGGGGGATTAATTACTATGGGGGATGAATTACTATGGGGGATAAATTACTATGGAGGATGAATTACTATATGGGGGATCAATTACTATATGGGGGATGAATTACTATGGGGGGGATGAATTACTATGTGGGGGATGAATTACTATGGGGGATTAATTACTATGGGGGATGAATTACTATGGGGGATTAATTACTATGGGGGATGAATTACTATATGGGGGATGAATTACTATGGGGGATGAATTACTATAGGGGGGATGAATTACTATGGGGGATGAATTACTATGGGGGATGAATTACTATATGGGGGATGAATTACTATGGGGGATGAATTACTATATGGGGGATTAATTACTATGGGGGATGAATTACTATATGGGGGATGAATTACTATGGGGGATGAATTACTATATGGGGGATGAATTACTATGGGGGATGAATTACTATATGGGGGATGAATTACTATGGAGGATGAATTACTATATGGGGGATGAATTACTATGGGGGATGAATTACTATATGGGGGATGAATTACTATGGGGGATGAATTACTATATGGGGGATGAATTACTATATGGGGGATGAATTACTATATGGGGGATGAATTACTATGGGGGATGAATTACTATATGGGGGATGAATTACTATGGGGGATGAATTACTATATGGGGGATAAATTACTATATGGGGGATGAATTACTATGGGGGATGAATTACTATATGGGGGATTAATTACTATGGGGGATTAATTACTATATGGGGGATGAATTAATATGGGGGATGAATTACTATAGGGGGGATGAATTACTATGGGGGATGAATTACTATATGGGGGATGAATTACTATGGGGGATGAATTACTATATGGGGGATTAATTACTATGGGGGATGAATTACTATATGGGGGATTAATTACTATGGGGGATGAATTACTATATGGGGGATGAATTACTATGGGGGATGAATTACTATATGGGGGATGAATTACTATGGGGGATGAATTACTATGGGGGATGAATTACTATATGGGGGATGAATTATTATGGGGGATGAATTACTATATGGGGGATGAATTACTATATGGGGGATGAATTATTATGGGGGATGAATTACTATATGGGGGATGAATTACTATGGGGGATGAATTACTATATGGGGGATGAATTACTATGGGGGATGAATTACTATATGGGGGATGAATTACTATGGGGGATGAATTACTATATGGGGAATGAATTACTATGGGGGATGAATTACTATATGGGGGATGTATTTTCAGTTTTAAAAATGTGGCTCTCAAAATGAATTTCAATCGTGGTTTTGGCGAGCTTTGGCTCAGTTGAAAAAAAAGGTTGCTCACCACTGCCCTAGCCATATGTGAATGATGCCGCTGCGCCATTGTACAGACTCCACTAACTTTTTGCCGCCACCCAATTAATTACTTTTATAAAAGTGCTCTTCGCCACCAGTCCAAACAATAATTGCTCTTATTTGCTGTTTTGGCACTATCTTGGCAATTATGTGTCTAAAAGGAAAATCCTCCAAAACTTGCTTCTTAATCACTGAGGCTACCTGTGTTTTAATATAAAGCATTGTACAATATACCTTCCTTTGTAGGGTACAGAGGTCATCCCTTTCCTTACATCTGTTTTGTATGACAAGACTCAGTGGAAGACTCCTTATGAATTTAACCCAAATCACTTTTTGGATGCTAACGGGAAGTTTGTAAAACAAGAAGCATTTATGCCCTTCTCTGCAGGTAGGTCACTATTGTTACATCATTTTTCTCCTCCTTCAAGCCCTCTCTATAGTCAATAATGGCTGATTTTGGGAGTTAGAAATTTCTAAAGGGAGTTAGGGTAAAAGCTTTTTAACTATAAGCCAACCTGAGACAGCCCCCGACCTTGTGTTCAAGGCTGCTCTTTTTGGCTTCATACAGTACTCATAGAATGGTAACACTGCACCGGCCAGTTTGAGTACAGGTTGTCCAACACACACATTTTGGGGGGAAAAAAAACACCTATTGCCTATTTATTTTGACAGAACACAGCCTGTCTACTGCTGGACTGTAATTGGTTCTTAAACTACAATTACCTTTTTGAAGCTATGCTGCCAGGAGCATATCTGTGCTATCAAAAGCCTTGGTACTGCAAGGATATAACAATGTTAAGATGTCTACAAGCAAGTCTATCCAAACAGTTATGGTCAAATCAGAAAACAATTGGGTGCTATGCTGTTTCTCCAGGAACCCCTGATCTACTGTTTGCAGGACAAAAAAAAAATCAGTCAGGTGTGCTGGATTTTCCTGGATGGGTATCTTTTCATTTTTAAAGAGACCAATATCAGCATGGTTTTTACATTTTCCCACCCTTCCCTCCTCCATAGGCATAAACATGCGCTCTTGGATGATCCAAGCATGAATGTTTTACAGAGATAGGGGACCCTCTGTGTTACCAGGCAAATGTTAGCCCTAAAAAGGGCTGGAGTGCAGGTTTTGAGAAACACTGAAACACTCTGCAAGGATGATGGGCTTTGCTCTGGACTGCTCACAGGGTGCAGCTCTCAGTTATAGAGTGGCAACAGCTGACAGCATGCAAAAATGAAGTGTGGTACAAAGTCATTAGCCAAGGTTGTGGTCACACAGGCAAAATGTCAGGGCAGTCAGATAACCAGGATTGACAAGCAAAAATTACAGGGCAAGCAGATATCAAGCATCATCAACAAACATGATGAAGTCATTAAAAGGAACCAGCTGAAGGAATATGAGTGCATCTAAACACACAAACTTGAAAAGGCCTTCAGTAGTTTTCTAAAATTTAGAAAGAGGCTGCACAGGTGAACATGAATCAAGTATGGGACCTAGGTATAGACAGCAGCAAATATGGCACAGATTGGTACTGCAGGAATTAAAAATGACAGAGTGTTTAGGGAACGATCTTTCATAAAATAAATCTATCAGCAGACTGTACCCACATCCAACCACCATTTTTGGGTAGCTTTATAGTGACTACATCTCCTATGGACATTGAGAGACATTGCATGTTATTCCTTTGAATTGATCAACCTCATTCATCCAACTATGGGTAGATTCTCCTTTGCTGCATGTTGTGATAGTAAAGAACAGCCCATTCTCAAGGACAGGAAACAGTTCTAGCAGATTGCCCTTAGCTTTAACATGTCTTTCCACTAATCTTTTTCTTGTCTAACTATTGTCTACTATTGTTTTGCATGATGATGAAAAATTTGTCATGGAAGTCAATAGGATTACTATCAAATCAATAATAAAAAAAAATAGAATACTGCAAATTATTTTTTGCTGTTCTGAATGCTTGATAGGTATTTAGTAGGAGACCACGTCAGTTTGGTTGCTGGAGTATATTTATTGCAGAAGCAGGCTCTCTTCTACCACTCTATGCCATCCATAAATTAAGGTCTAACTATTTTACTGTACTTCCAGACTACAGAGCACAGCTTATATCATGCACTCCTCAGTTGACTTTTTTTTCTTCTGCATTTTTTTTTATAGGAAGAAGGGCTTGTGTTGGAGAAAGTTTAGCCAGAATGGAACTTTTCCTGTTTTTTACTGGCCTTCTGCAAACCTTCACTTTCTACCCACCTCCTGGAGTCTCCAGAGATGATATAAGTCTGAAGCCTGGCACTGGATTCACTTTAATCCCTTTGCCACACTTAGTATGTGCGAAGCTAAATTACTAATGAAAGACAGCTAAGAAGCAACATGTTTGTTGTGTAAACTTTGCATTTTAGCTGGTCTGCTTTTTAGATGTTATGTCATTTTGAATACCACTTTTGATATGTTGTACTTTAAAGCTGTAATATTTCTGAATAAAACTGTTAAGGACCAGTACTGGGCTATCCTGCAATCCATTAGATTTCTGTATCTCTTACTAGTGAATATGATGTATTTTAAATGAGAACAAAAAAAAAATGTGCCAGGACTCCGTTCGGATGTCAAAAAACATAGCAGCTAGCACGACACCATAATACATAGTATAATAAACATCACAAAACAATAGTGCAGCACTAAAAATACATTAAAATGTGTGTGCAATACAATAGTGCAATGCAAAATATATCAAACTCTTGTGTCACCACAAATTGAAAGAAAAAAGGAATCCAAATGTGAAGCCAAAAACAGTGAATTCAGTGGTTCTTCGATATGAGGGAGTACATCGCTCCTGATCACGTCATTTTTGATTAAACTAGTAGGGCAGAGAAGGAACACACACGCCACTACGCATATGTAATCTCGCTGCAGGCATCTTGGATTTTGGAATATTGGTTGTCCACATGATATGAAGTGCCTGATTGTCATCTTTTCATTTGATCTGATATAATGCAGCAGTACCATCGTTTGACATGTGGTTTTTGAGGAAAGCTAGATATATTGGATTATTATACAAGTGCTGGTTGACCACTCTTAATTGGGGGTCATATGATTCTGGTAAGCCTCCCTTTGTTGTACATCGAGGTGCTGTGTGGTTCATTATTAAAAAGTTTTGGTGGCCTTTGACATCCACGTCTGTCATTTCCCTCATAATTGAAGAACCACCGTTTTTGGCTTCACATTTGGATTCCTTCATTCTTTCAATTTTTGGTGCCACAAGAGTTTGATATATTTGCATTGCACTATTGTATTGCACACGCACTTTAAGTTATCTTAGCGCTGCACTATTGTTTTGTAATATCGATGTATTTGCCTGCAGGGGTACCCACCCCCTTTAAACTAACTCTCCCATAATATAGAGAGCTTGAAGCTAATAAAAGGTAATAAAAAATAGAAAGACAGCAATGTGAGAACATCATAGTTTGAAATCAGGCACAATAATGGTTTTGTAAGACCTATCTAGGAGCAATAAGCCCTGTCTAAATCACTGTCCAGTAAACTACGGGCTTAGCCATGTTGGCGTTGGGGGTCTTTGCTAGCGGTGGAGTTTTACCATTCCATATTGGAGCTTTTTAATCCACTGCGCAGAGAATTAACACTGTCCCATTGCACAAGAATGCTTCACAACCATAAACAGTAGCAACAATAGCAAGCTATGGTGGTCAACAAGCCTCTGCTTGCCCACTGTGGTGAAGTCTACTTGGTCACTGTCCAGTCTTGATTCACTTTTCCACTCAGAGTGATTGTGGAATTGAACCAATGTGCAGCGTCTGAGTGGAGTCAGGCAAAAGGTAACCCACTCAACCTTGAACCTACCTGTCAAGCCTTGGATGGCGATCCTTTCTTTGGGTTCCTGCGACACAGCAACTCATTCTCCAGCAGCACATGGTCCAGTAGGGTACTGCAGACAGGAAGAGGATACCAGAACATACTCTGCCATCAGAAACAGTCAGCTCTGGGGTTCTTTAAGCACGCTCGAAATAGTTAGTCAACATGTGGTACTGGGGCTTTTTACTCTGTACATGGCAGACGCAAAAGCAGCAGTCCTGGCAGAAAACCCAAAACCCCTGGAGACACAGACTCCTAGGCTCCTGTACTACTAAGGGCAACTACCCACTTCCAGCCCTGTCCCTGGGCTCACTACACTGGCCGAACACTCTCCAAAAGGCTCTAGACACACTTCCCAGGCACTCTTCTCTCCATGCAGGTCCCTGGCTTCTGGCTGTCTCACACTCACACAAAAAAAATTCTCTTGGCTCAGTGGACAATCAGGGTCTGTCTTCCTCATTCTTAGGGGAGGTACAGTCCCCTGGTGGGAGCAGCAGCAGCAGCTAACAATCCAAGGCAGCAGCTGCTGTTGCCATCAGTGTACTGTACCACCCCTAATAATCTAAGAATGCGAAAGAGAGTCTATCTCTCTGCTCTTTATCCCTATGCTACTAAGACATACCAAGACATTTTGGACAATTTCATACTCCCAACTTTGTGGGAACATTTTGGGGGATGGCCCCTTCCTGTTCCAAAGTGACTGCACACCAGTGCACAAAGCAAGGTCCATAAAGACATGGAAGAGCGAGTTTGGGGTGGAGGAACTTGCCTGGCCTGCACAGAGTCCTGACCTCAACCCGATAGAACACCTTTGAGATGTATTAGAGCGGAGACTGCGAGCCAGGACTTCTCATCTGACATCAGTGCCTGACCTCACAAATGCACTTCTGGAAGAATGGTCAAACATTCCCATAGACACACATATTTAATGTGTTTTAAAGCAGAAAGTAAACAAAAATTTTTTTGGGGCTCTTTTTTTTGTTTATATAGCAAAAAATAAAAAACCCTGTGGTGATCAAATACCACCAAAAAGAAATCTCCATTTGTGTGTGAAAAAAATAATGTAAATTTCTTTTAGGTATAGTGTTGCATGACCACACAATTACCAGTTAAAGTAACACAGTGCTAAAGAGGGAAAAATGGCCTGGTCATGAAGGGGGGTACAACCTTCTTGAGCTCAAGTGGTTAATTTCCCAGGATGGGAATTACAGAGGTCCTTTCCTGGGTGGAGGCACTGCCAACTTTATTATCAAACCCACTCTTTTACTAAGCAAAGGTTTCTGGTTCTAATATTTACCTACAGGTTTAATGCAATAGCTTGTTTATGAAGGCCAAATTCTCATAACCCCCCCCCCAAAAAGAGGGCTACCCAAGTAATGTAAGTATCATCCTCTTGTAATCATACAGAGAAAAATTAAAGAGAAGGGTAGAACTGGAGGCCAAACAGTTGTGCCGCAGCGTATGATTGTACGTACCTGCATTGAAAAAAAGTCACATTCGTACAGTATGTTGCATTCATAGAGTATGTCACATTCATAGAGTATGTCACATTCATAGAGTATGTCACATTGGTAAATGAATGCATTGTCCGAAGGCTGAAGATGGCGGCTGGAGCAGACGCACATCAGTGAGCTCCTGAGCTCCTGGCCCCAATCTGCTGCCATCCGGGCCACAGCGGACCCTAGCGGGGGCCCTACGACACTCCGGTCCCTGCCTGGCCACCAAGGAAGGCCACCGGACCTTTTCCTGGAGCTCCGGGAATCGGGGCCTACCACGCACCCGAAGCTGCGGCCTCAATTTTTGCCGCAGATGATCCGAATCGCCGGACATCCGCCCGGACGGCCCTTCGACATGGCATAATGGACTCTCCCTATCCTCACGTCCTGACTGAAACCTCCCTCCTCTCCGACCCGATCAGCATTCTGCCCACCCTAGCATGCCACCTGCACTCCTCCTCCTCGTTCTCCTCTTCTCCATCCCCAAACTTGCCTCCCTCTACCTCCCTACTCCCCCAAAACACCTCTACATCGCACCCTCACTTCTTCCCTCCCCCCTCTATGGCTTTCACCACCTCCTCCTATTACTCCACTCCCCCGCCGACCCACAAGCCACCACCAACCGACCCACGCGCTCCTGCACCTCCCATTCCCATGCCACCTTCCTCACCCTCCCTCCTTCTCCTAACCGCCAGTGACCTCTCCCCAAACCCTGGCCCTCCATCTCCCCACTCCCCCTCCTGGCACCCCCCTACTCACGCCAACCACCGCAACCCCCTCAATCTCCCGAATCTGTCCCCCTCCTCCCCACATCCACCCCTCCCCCCTCGGTTGCACTCCTGAACGCCCCACATTCGGTTTGCAACAAGCTCACTGCCATCCACGACCTCTTTCTCTCCCACTCCCTCAACCTCCTAGTGGTCACCGAAACCTGCATCCAAGCCACTGACTCCACCTCCCCTGCTACCCTCTCCTATGGAGGCCTCGTCTGGACCCATTCCCACCCAGAACCCCCCCCGGACCCAGAATTCGGAGGGGCCTCAGTATGCTCCTACCACTGCTGAGAACGCCTTCCAGAATCCTCCCCAACCCCCCCCCCTACCCCCCACTATCCCCTCCTCCTTTCGAGGCCCCCACTGCCCCCTGGCTCTTCTCTCCCACCCCCCTACGGATTGCGGTAATCTATCGGCCTCCAAAGGCTGGTTCTGAATCCCCCCCCTCCTTGACGACTTTGCCGCCTGGCTTCCCTTCTTCCTCTCCACTCCCTTTCCAACCCCCCCCCGCCCCCATCAATCCTAGGTGACTTCAATATCCCGAATCCCCCCCTTCGCCAACCCCCCCAGCCCGCTACTTCCCAACTCCCCTTCTAACCTCCTCCTCCTCGCACTCAAACAGCACACTCAGTCCTCCCACCCCCCCCAGCCCCCCACCCTGGACCTCATCCTTTCTCCCCCCCTGCACCCCCCCCCGACCCCCTCACTAACCACCCCCTTCCCCCCCTCCCACCCCGCCACCTCCCCCACATTCCCATCTCCCCCTCCCCCCAAACTCCCCCCCCCCCGAAGCATCTAAACCATCACCCCCATCCCTCCCTCCCAATTGAACCCCCCCCCCCCCCTCCCAGAACCCGGCCCCCCTGTATGAACAGCCGATCCTTCTGTCCCCCTGACCCCCCACCCCCCCCCCACACGCCCCCAAACCACTGTCAGCTGCCCCCCCTACCCCACCCCTAACCCCCACCGTAGCCCCCCCCCCATACCCCCCCCAACCGCTTCAAATACCCTGGCAAACCCCCCCTACCATGCCATCCCCCGACGCAGTCTCCCTGGAGCGCTTATGGCGCCAAAACCAGAACCCCCCCCCCCGCTCTCCCTCCCCTAAACCCCCCACCCCCTACCTCCCCTACACCACTTCCCCCTCCCCCGCCCCCAAGCAAGCCTACTTTTCCATAACCCCCCAACACCTTCCCCACTGTCCCATCCACCCGCCTCTTCTCCCTTTCCCCCCCCCTCCCTCCCCCCATTGCCCCCCCCCCCCCCCCCCCCCCCCACCCAGCACCTCCCTCACCAACCCCCCCCGAGATTGCCACCACTCCACTCCCCCCCCCCCCCCCTGACGCAATCCGTAAGGACATTGTCAACTCCAAATCCACCTCTCCCCCAGCCTCCCCCTATCCTCCTTCAACCCCTCAACCCTCCCCCTCCCCCGCCCTACGCTCATAGTCACCCCTCACCCCCCACTATACCTAAACCACCCCCCCATCACTCCCCCTCCCCCCCACCCCATCCCGCTCCCCCAGCCCCCACCCCCCCCAGGAGGTCTCTCAAGGTCTTCACTGAAGCTCCCTCACCACCTGCCCCCTGGACCCTATCACCCACAGCCCCCCCCAACCTCACCCCCCTCCCCCGCATTCGCGCCCCTCACCCCCCAATCTTCAATCTCCTCCCCCCCTCTCCACTTTACGCACCATTCCCCCCCTACCCTCTAAACCCCTCAACACCCCATCACCCCCTACTCAAAAAACCCTCCCCCCCCCCACTACCCCTTAACAACCCCTAGACCCATCTCCTTGTTGCCCTTCACCCCCCAACTGCTCCCACCCACCCTGGGTCTACAATTGCCCCAGCACCCACCTCAACTGATAGCAACCTCCTTGACCCCCCCCACAACCACCCCATCCGTCCCCTGCCACTCCACCCCCACCCCCCCCTTAAAATCACCAATGACCCCCTCCCCACCACGAAAGCCCACCCCCACTATTCTATCCTCCGCTCCTCGACCTCCTCCGCGGCCCTCCCACACCCACCAACCCCCCCCCCCTTGCCCCCTGCACTCAACCCCCCCCTCAAGAGACCCCCCCTGCTCTCCCCCCCGGTTCTCCTCCTACCCCCCCCCCCAAACGCTCCCCACACCCCCGTCCCCCCTACAACACTGCCCCAACCCCCTCCCCCCCCCCCCCCCCCCTGTCGGGGTCCCCCAAGGCTCCCCTGTCCCCTCCAATTACCACCTCCCCATGCCCGACCCCACCCAAATTTATCTCCCCCACCACCCCCCCACCTCCCCCCGCATCGCCCACCTCCTAAACGACATATCAGACTGGATTTTGCTCCATTTCCTCCAAGCTTAACCTATCCAAAACCGAGCTCCTGGTCCCTTCCCCCCCCCCCCCCACCCCGTGCCCCCTCCCCCTCTCCATCACCAACCCTAACAACACCACACACCACCCCCCCCACCACCCCCCACCCAAAGCCCCCCCCCACCCTGGACTCCCACCTCTCCTTCCTACCCCACATTCCAACTGCTATCTAGATCTTGCAGGCTCCACCTCCACAACATCTCCAAGATGCGCACATTCCTCACCCCAGACACCACCAAACAACTCGTACACTCTCTCACTGGCCTACCCAAACGAACGCTATCCCCACTCCAGTCGATCCTACACTCAGCGGCTAGACTCATCCACCTCACCAACCGCTCCACATCTGCCTCCCCCCTCTGCCAATCCCTTCATTGGTTTCCCGATTGCCCAACGCATCAAATTCAAACTGCTAACTCTGACCTACAAAGCCATTCACAATGCCGCCCCGAACTACATAACTGAACTGATACCCAAATACTACCCTACCCGTGCCCTCCGCTCCTCACAGGACCTCCTACTCTCTAGCTCCCTGGTCTCCTCCTCCCACGCCCGATTGCAGGACCTCTCCAGGACTTCCCCCATCCTCTGGAACTCCCTACCCCAATCCATCAGACTGTCACCTACTATTTTTTATGATTATTTATTAAATTATAATTTATGATTTCGTGTTTCAAATTTTATCATAGACTCTTGTTAGGACAGATTTCAGTGAATTATTCCTAAAAATTACAGCCTACAAAAAAAAAAAAACTACATATTTCCATGCAAAATAATGGTACCGCTTTCAGCACCAAAAATCTGAAATAATCATACCGCCGAGGAGGTTATTGTGTGAACTTTAAATCCTGGCATCAAAACAGCTACATTGCAGATAACATAACTGCCTCTTGGCAAAGGGTTATACAGGTTTGTGCAGTACAATCCATAGCATCTATGCAAAAACAAGATTATGCAATAACAAGCTAAGGAAATAATGTCCAGTGAGCCAAATGGGGTGATATAGTTTATTTGAGCCCTAGTAAAGATTAATATGTTAAGAATTAACAGCATGCATATAAAAGCTGTGCCATACTAGTTTACTAACTGAACCTGAGCCACTTCATATTGATTTATTCGTAGTACATGTCCTTAAGCTGTGAACTTTATATTCTGGCATCAGCTACACTTCAGATAATAAACGCCTCTCAGTTTCCATCCAAAAAAAAAAAAAATCTCACAAAGGGTATACAGGTTTGTGCAGTACAAGCTTATACAATAACAAGATAAAATATATTATTGGCCAATGAGCCAAACAATGTAATATAGTTTATTTGTGTCCTAGTAAGATTAATATGTTAAGAATTAACACTGTGAGTATAAAACTTGTGCCATCGCCACATTGAAAATATCATCATTACAGTTCTTCACTATGACTTTTCTCACCTACCTTCTCACAAGGATTGATTTGCTGCTTTGTTTCATAACATGTGTTGTATTATTTGTCTACTGGATCAATGGATCTAAGAAGAGCAATGGAAAGATGCCTCCAGGTCCTAAACCTCTTCCTTTAATTGGGAACCTCAATCTGGTGGACCTGAAAAAGCCATATGAGTCACTAATGTACCGGTTAATATTAATATTTACAGTACCGGTTAATATTAATATTTACAGTAAAGGTACCTTGGTTGCTTTATATATATATATATATATATATATATATATATATATATATATATAAAAAAATGAAGTATCTTATATAATCATTTGTTTATTATATTATATTGGAGATCTTTTACCACCATAATATTTGCCTATTTGCTTATTTTGTACTGTTGGCAAACATGCAATCAGCTGATCTGAATTCTGTACAAATGTTATATAGCCAGATTCTAGGAAGTTGATCATTGTCCATCCTCTTTTAGGGTCTACCGTGTCAGTTTGCCAAAAGTAACATGACAAGTGTTTACAATGCTTACAATCATTATTTAGTGAATAAATTACTAATATTTAAGTAAATAATCTAAAATGTATATTAAATGTTATATATTTATGATAACAGCCATCTTAATATATTTTAGTGATATAAATAATGTAGTACAAGAATGATACACAGTATAATACTATGTGTTATAAAAGGAAACTATAGTATCTATCTATCTATCTATCTATCTATCTAACTATCTATCTATCTATCTATCTATCTATCCACATGGAAGAAAAATATATTTGAAATATATTTTAAAAATATTATTCCCAAATATATTGCCATATATTTGAAATACTACAATTTTGGCCATATTCAATATATTTCAAAATATATTTCAATTACTATATATATATATATATATATATATATATATATATATATATACTGCATGTTGAAATGCGTTTTTATGACAAAATATAAGAAATACATTTTTAAAAATACATTTCAAATATACTGTATGTCTTTTAAAAAAACAAATCTATATTTTTGGAATGCATTTACAAATGTATGTAAAACTATATGTTAAAAGGACTTTTTTATATGTTAAAAAAAATCTGAAGAATATATTTTTAAAAATATATATGTTTTAAATAAATTCTTCAGATTTTTTCAACATGCAGTACATATATATATATATTTATTGAAATATATTTTGAAATATATTGAATATGGCCATAATTGTGATATTTCAAATATATGGCAATATATTTGGGAAGAATATTTTTAAAATATATTTCAAATATATTTTTTCTTCCATATGGGTATCCATCTATCTATCTATCTATCTATCTATCTATCTATCTATCTATCTATCTATCTATCTATGGGGTTGATTTACTAAATCTGGAGAGTGCAAAATCTGGTGCAGCTATGCATAAAAACCAATCAACTTCCATTTTGTTTGTTGTCAAAGCTTATTTGAACAAGTTGAAGATAGAAGCTGGTTGGCAGAGCTGCAGCAGATTTTGCACTCTCCAGTTTTAGTAAATCAACATCTATCTATGTATATTGCATTCATATAATGTAATTCAGCTGCAACACGTTTGTTAGCAAACAGGTAAGAAGCTTTTTATGCTTTTTATACATAACATGTCTCTTCTACAAAACTAATCCTTCCTAGCAGCAATTTTTTTTAAAGTACCACTTTAATAGTCCTATCAATGACTGCTAATGTTTAAAAATGTTTTCTTTTGTAAATGTTTAAACATGGGGCAGCCCTATAGACATTAGTAGAACTGCACAGTTCTGTGGGTTAGGTCTGATCTATAAAAGTAATTTGGTTTATCTAAACAGTCCTTAAAGTGTATCTAAGCCCAAGAACAAAAATGGAATATATTGCAGTTTACCAATCCTTAGATGTGGTGGCTGCATTACTTTATATATTTCAGCTGTTATATTCAACAGGCGATCCTGCTAGTAATGCACTTCAGGGTTTATTTACTAAAGCTGGAGAGTGCAAAATCAGGCTCACGTCTGCACAGAAACCAATCAGCTTCCAGGTTTTATTGCCAAAGCTTAATTCAACAAACTGAAGTTAGAAGCTGATTGGTTTCTATGCAAAAGTGAACCTGATTTTGCATGCTCCAGCTTTAGTAAATAAAGCCCAAACTGTCTTAGGTTGATGACACTCACTCACTAACTATATCTATGGAGAAACAGCGTTGTCACCTTAGAACAGGACTACATTAACCTTCCTCTCTTCTCCATAACATAGAGGGGGGTGTTTTGTTGCCCTCAGAGATAGCTGGAACCAATGGGAGTTATTTCCTATGGCCTCTTTCACACGGGCATTCCGTATGTCCGTTTTTCATCTGTCTGTTTATGGATGAAAAATGTACAACCATGTATTTCTATGGACTAGTAGATGTAAATGGATGATCATTCGTTTAATCCGTTAATGTCCACATCCATTAACATCCGTTTTTTGAATGAAAGAAAACCCTATTTTTGTTCTGTAAAAAAACCCAGAATGGACAAAAAACGGATGTAAATGGATGTAAACAGATGAGAAACAGATGAAAACGGATGTAACGGATGAAAACAGACGTAAAACAGATTAATAAACTGATGTAAACTGATGAAAAACGTATGTAAAAAGAATGAAAAAACAATGTAAACTGATGAAAAAACGGATGTAAAATGAATGAAAAAACTAATATAAACTGATGAAAAAACGGATGTAAAATGAATGAGAAAAGTAATATAAACTGATAAAAAAACGGATGTAAAATGAATGAAAAAACTAATGTAAACTGAGGAAAAAACTAATGTAAAATGAATGAAAAAACTAATATAAACTGATGAAAAAATGGATGTAAAATGAATGAAAAAACTAATGTAAACTGATGAAAAAAATGGATGTAAAATGAATGAAAAAAACTAATATAAACTGATGAAAACATGGATGTAAAATGAATGCAAAAACTAATGTCAACTGATGAAAAAACGGATGTAAAATTAATTAAAAAACTAATGTAAAATTATGAAAAAACGGATATAAACTGATGATAACAGATGTAAAATGAATGAGAAAACTAACATAAACTGATGAAAAAAACGGATGTAAAATGAATGAATAAACTAATATAAACTGATGAAAAAATGGATGTATAAAATGAATGAAAAAACTAATGTAAACTGATGAAAAAACGGATTTAAACTGATGAAAACATGTAAATTGAATGAAAAACCTAATGTAAACTAATGAAAAAACGGATGTAAAATGGATGAAAAACTAATGTAAACTGATGAAAAAACAGATGTAAAATGAATGAAAAAAATAATATAAACTGATGAAAAAACAGATGTAAAATGAATGAAAAAACTAATGTAAACTGATGAAAAAACGGATGTAAAATGAATGAAAAAACTAATGTAAACTGATGAAAAAACAGATGTAAAATGAATGAAAAAACTAATGTAAACTGATGAAAAAAGGGATGTAAAATGAATGAAAAAACTAATGTAAACTTATGAAAAAACGGATGTAAATTGATGAAAACAGATGTAAACTGAATGAAAAAACGGATGTAAAATGGATGAAAAACTAATGTAAACTGATGAAAAACTAATGTAAACTGATGAAAAAACGGATGTAAAATGAATGAAAAAACAAATGTAAACTGATGAAAAAACGGATGTCAAATGAATGAATAAAATAATATAAACTGATGAAAAAACAGATGTAAAATGAATGAAAATACGAATGTAAACTAATGAAAAAAACGGATGTAAAATGAATGAAAAAACTAATGTTAACTGAAGAAAAAACGGATGTAAAATGAATACAAAAAAAATGTAAACTGATGAAGAAACAGATGTAAAATGAAAGAAAAAACTAATATAAACTGCTGAAGAAAACGGATGTAAAATG